GGCCTATGCCTTGAGTTTAGGGTTTTGGTTAAGGGCACTACTTTAAGGGCACCATAATAAGGGTTTAGGGTTTTTAAGGGGTTCTATAGGATACTACTATAGCGTCAGCATCTCGAGCTTTACCCCACTTGGTTTAGGGATTTAGGGGTTTAGGGTTTAGGGGTTTAGGGTTTAGGGTTTAGGGTTTAGGGGTTTAGGGTTTAGAGCTTTACCTTAGTTCTCCAATAGCCAGTACTTGTACTAGTACTAGTGGTAGTGGTAGTGGAAGTGGTAGTGGTAGTAATAGTGGTGGTAGTAGTAGTAGTAGTAGTAGTAGCAGTAGTAGTAGTAAGTAGTAGTAAGTNNGTAGTAATAGTAGTCGTAGTAGTGGTAGTAGTGGTAGTAGTAGCAGTAGTAGTAGTAAGTAGTAGTAGTAGTAGTAGTAGTAGTAGTAGTAGTAGTAGTAGTAGGAGTAGTAGTACTAGTAGTGGTACTACTAGTAGTGGTAGTGCTAGTAGTAGTAGTAGTAGTAGAAGAAGAAGCAGTAGCATTAGTAGTAGAAGAAGTAGTAGTAGTAGCAGTAGTATCAGTAGGACTACCACTACTACCACTCTTACCACCACCACCACCACCACCACCACCACTACCACTACTACTACTACGCAAGGGTGCTGCAAGGGGCTTAGGGCTCAAAGGATGAAGCTTGCAAGGTTGTTTCGGTGGGTTTTCAGTCTACAAGGGTTCTACAGGAGTTTCGGGATTTATGGGGTCGGGGGTTTAGGGCTTTTAGGAGCTTAAAGTGGTCGCTAAGTACGAATGCAAAATTTAGACATGCAGGTTTCATGTATTAGGGTTGAGGATGTTCACGCTTTGGTAGTTTGGGGTTTGTGTCAAGTGCTTGGCTGAGGCCCAACACCCAGTTTCTACAAATGGCCAACCGGAACACTGCGGAATGATTGCTCTCGTGCGCGTGACGTGCGCAAAAGCACGGACTTCGAAGGGGTAGGGTTTAGTTTAGCCCGCAGACCGGGAGCCCATAGCTACGAAATGCTGAAGCTCCACCTTAGCCAGACCCGGCATTGTAGAGCTCTAAGATTAAGACCTTTTTTTGGACAACTGCTTGCCTTGTTTAATATTTAATGTCTAAGCTTCTCGAGCAGCTTTCTTCCCAAGAAGACCCTGCAATAAGTAGGTTATAGTATTAGTTGGTGGCGGCGCCTTTGAAGGTTAAGGAGCTCCATACAAGATCGTGACTTGTATGTGTTGCTACCTCGTGATTTGTCTGAGATGCCGCGAGACGAACGTCGTCGGGATCATGTTCAGATTCCCGATATCCACAAAAGCCTGTCTGCAAACACCCTAGCGATGTGTCGGGTAGGGTGTGTAATGCTTGTGTCTGTAGACCCGTCGACGACTACTACAACGACTACGGCTGCGACTACGACTACCCCTACGAGTACTCCTACATGAGCCATATGCACCACGACCACTACCACTACCACGGACCACTACCCACTACAACAGTACAGCAGCAACACCACCAAAACAACAACACCCCGCAGCAACAGCAACCGCAACGGCAACAACAACAACAACAAAGACGACGACTACTGCTGCTTATCTACTAATTCCTTGCCACTTGTTAGACCATAAGTTCGGTATAATGCTTTTTGGGTCTTGACATGTCAAGCTCGCATGCTCCCAAACTCCAGGCATCTAGACGAAGTGTGTTTGCACATGGGAAGGTCTGCGTTTCGTGAGGATCGCCGGTCGATGGGATGCCCTTCAGGATTCAGGGTTTAGGGTTTAGGGTTTAGGGTTTAGGGTTTAGGGTTTAGGATTCAGGGTTTAACTAGTGGTTATAGGGCTTAGAGACAAGATTTCCAAAGCGGTGGGGATTCTCTGAAGATGTCGGAGGAATGTCGGTCCTCACCCAGGGAGTCCGTTTCCTCTTCATCCCTAAACCCTAAACTTTTTCTTTTACGCTCTGAACCCTAAGCCCTTCGTCCCTAAATCACTCAACCTGGCTTGCAGTCCCAGACCCTAAACCCTAAACTCTAAACCCTGAACCCCTAAACCCTAAACCCCTAAACCCTAAACCCAGACCCGAAGCTCGTCAATGGTAGCCTATGGCTCAGGTGTTGGAGCATGTTCGGGAATAGCCGGGTAACCCTGCAACCGTCAGGCCGAGTGCCGACAGCACTGCCGGACACGATGTCAACAGCAACAGCAACTAAACTACATACCACTATGACACTATGTTTCAACCCGAGTTTAATGATGATGAGCATCATTGCTCTTAGCATCACTACCATGCCCCTACCGTTTGTGAAAAAGAGGCCTGGGGGAGTCAGCAGCAAGCGTAGCACCGAGACAGCAAGCATCTCCCCTTCGCCAGCATGCTGGAGCCTCGGATTCAGGGGTTGAGGGAGCTTAAAGCTTACGGGTTTAGGGTTTAGGGTTTAGGGTTTAGGGTTCAGAGGCCTGGGCCTGAATATCTTTTCTTAAGACTCTTCCCCAAAGTTCCTGACTAGACATGCCCTTTAAAGCTTTGGAACCCTGTTCTACTTATGAAGATCCCCCTAAACCCCTATAAACCCTAACCCCTAAACCCTAAACCCTAAACCCTAAACACTAGAGGCTCCAAGTACCTCTAACAATTAGCGAGGCTCCTGCGGCGAAGTCCCCTACGTTCCCATACCAACACCCTACAAACCACG